TTTTTTTTTTGTTATTTTGCATAGCCTTTTAGAAAAACATTTTATTTTATTTATTACGGAGCGTTGGAAAAATATTAAAACGATAAAATTTTAGAGCCTTAAAAAGGGCCTAACTAAACTCATGATGGACTAGCCCTGCATTCCTTCAATTTTTTAGCTCTGCCACCACCAAAACCGTGTATCTACCAATTGCTACCGGTGTTCTTCGCTTCACCACACTGCCACCAGCATCCTTTGTGGATAGAGCAATGGTAGAGGGCCACAAAAACAGTGGCTCAAATGGCTCAAAACTGCCAAAACGGCTGCAAAGCAAGTATGGCTTCCCCTCAAATACCATGAACTTTCCCTTACTAATTACTAGTTTTTGTACATACATGGATACATATTGCGTATGCTGTCTATATAGTTATTGCCTTGTAACCTCCAAAACCACTTATTGTAGTTTAAAAAAATACCCATACTTCGCTAAAAATTATTTACCTTCTCTCCTTCCTGTTCTCCTTCTACGTTTTTCCTATTTTGGCCTACTTTGTGTTGGGTGTACCTCCTTATTGGAGTGTGGGACCCAATTGATCTATTAAAAGAGTTTCAATTTGGCTTGGTTTAGGTATAATATATTTTTATATATTATATTTGTGGAGACCTAATTCAATTTAGATACAATTAGGGTTTGATTTCAAAACCCAAGATTTAATAATATATATATCCAATATATATATTATTTTGTTTCAACACAGAAACACAGGTGAACGGCTGCCTTATGGTTTTTTTTGGGTTTTTCAAAGGTGAGCAACCATTGGTGATCATTAATTGTTGGTGAGATAGTGCTTGGTACATAATCAAAATTGGTGGTTTTTGTTCTGGTTGTGTGAGTGCCGTTTGGATCAAAAATAATTCGGTGGTATTATTTTTATTCGGTTTGGTGCTGCTTTGGAGCATAAGTTGGTTCGTTATTTTGGATCTTCTACAACTCTGGTTCTGAAGATTTTGGTTCTTCTATTTGGTGAGGTCTTTCCTCTTTGTTTATTTGTGATTATTTGGAATTCACCTAAGGGTGGTTTGTGAGACCATTAGTGTCTCGTTTGTAATCGTTTGGAACTTATTTGGTTGATAGTGGAATCGGATTTCGATCCCGTGGACGTACCTCACATTGAGAGAACCACGTAAAAATTCTTGTGTTGCCTTTGATTTAATTTTTCTGTATTAATTTTTATTCCCATTGATTGATTTACTTGTGGGGAATCACATCGATTTTCCCTAACAATTTTAGAGCCTTAAAAAGGGCCTAACTAAACTCAGGATAGACTAGCCCTGCATTCCTTCAATTTTTTAGCTCTGCCACCACCAAAACCGTGTATCTACCAATTGCTACCGGTGTTCTTCGCTTCACCACACTGCCACCAGCATCCTTTGTGGATAGAGCAATGGTAGAGGGCCACAAAAACAGTGGCTCAAATGGCTCAAAACTGCCAAAACGACGTCGTTTTGGGATCAAAACCTGCCAAAACGACGTCGTTTTGGTAGTTTTGAGCCATTTGAGCCACTGTTTTTGTGGCCCTCAAACATTTTTCTTGTGGATAAGATCATGTTGGAAGAAAAAAATGGGAAGAAAAGAGAAAAAGTGAGGGAATAAAATGAAAATTTAAACACTTTTAAGTCAATGTTATGTAATGAAAAGTGGATATAAAGAACTAGAAATGTGTAAATAAAAGAATTCACGAATTTGATTTTGTTTTTATCTTAGATATCATCCTTTTTAAAATTTATACTCTAGCATCAAAATCAACTTTATGTAGAAAGACAAAGTGTCACTCTATTTAAGTTTCCATATTGAAATTCAAAATACAATTTTTGTTTATAATATGTATATTGTTGATTAGGAAAAAGCCAGGTCACCTTGCCATGACTGACCAAGAAGTTATTTGTTAATTTTGAGATACAATCACAAGTCTGTTTGATAATTATTTCATTTTCAGTTTTCAGTTTATATTTATAAAATTTTTAAAAATTATCATAAAAACTTGTTTGATAATTTTTTTAGTTTATAAATAGTTGTCTCCATTTATAAATTTAAGAAAAAAAACATAAACTCAAAAAATTAATTTACGTTGATTTTTAAATAAAAATTTAAAAATTTAATTTATACCCTAGCATCAAAATCAACTTTATGTAGAAAGACAAAGTGTCACTCTATTTTAAGTTTCCATATTGAAAATCAAAATATAATTTTTGTTTATATTATGTATATTGTTGATTAGGAAAAAGCCAGGTCACCTTGTCATGACTGACCGAGAACTTATTTGTTGATTTTGAGATACAATCACAAGTCTTTTTGGTAATTATTTCGTTTTTAGTTTATATTTATAAAAATTTTAAAAATTATCATAAGAACTTATTTGGTAATTTTTTTAGTTTATAAATGGTTGTCTCAATTTATAAATTTGAGAAAAAAATATAAACTCGAAAAATGAGTTTACATTAATTTTTAAACAAAAATTTAAAAATTTGACTAATAATTTTTTTTCAAATAATTTTTTTAAATAATTTTTTTTTCAATTAATTTTTTCCAATTAATTTTTTTTCAACTATTTTTTTCATTAATTTTTTTTCAATTATAATGTGTATCACATTGTCATAAATATTTTAGACTTAAACAAACATATTTTTTAATTTATGTTTTTAAAATTTTTCAAACATTTCGTTCAAACCAAACGCGTTTGTAGTTTATTATTTTTTAAAAAATAAACAAAAACCAAGTTATAAAATTTTTATAAACATAAACAAAAAAACGTAAACGTTACCAAACGCTATCGTAGTGCCTAAGTTTTCGTTTGGAATAAGTTAAAACGAAATTTTTTGACTAAAATAATCACTAACAGACAAAATAGATTTTTTAATCCATTAAGACAATGTCACATCCAAAGTTTTAAAAAGCGGCCGCAATCATTACATAACGCCGTTACTAGGGCTGCAAACGAGTCGAGCCGAGTTTTAGTATGTTTGAGCTTGTTTATTAAGATTTTAACAAGTTCGAGCTCAAGTTCGGGCTCGGGCTGAATAAAAAATTAACGAACCGAGTTCGAGCCGAGTTGACTTAGGCTCGACTAGAGTTTGAGCCTGTTCACGAGCCTTAACGAGCCAAAAAAATTATAAATTCATACTTGCATGTGAGACTAAAGTTACAATTAAAACTTTGATTATATAGTTATATATACAATATATATAAACATACTAAAAAAAAGTCTATATTTTACTAAAATAATATCTACTACCACTATTATATAAATGTACTATCTATAGTTAACTATTATTTACATTTATATTTTTTAAATATACAAATAGCATATTTCTCTTATTTTTTATACATATTTATATATTATTTAATATATAAATAATAAATGTTAAACGAACCAGCTAACGAGCCGAGCTTTAGAATGTTTCGGCTTATTTATTAAAAATTTAACGAGCTCGAACTCGAACGCAAAAAAAAAATTAACGAATCGAGTTCGAATAAACTCTTACCGAGCCGAGCTTGAGCCTGTTCACGAACGACTCTATTTATTTACAACCCTAGTCGTTACGTAACGATTATGGTGGTTACCGCCACCCGTTATGACCGCTTTTGCAGTGTGATTGAGATTCACAGATGTGTCAGATGCCGTAACAGCCTGTTACGCACTGTTACGTAACGGTTCTGAACTGCTTCTTTCGAAAAAATACAAAAAAACAAAATCTAATAATGAAAGAAGAGGAATAGAGAGAAGAGGGAAGATAAAGAGAGAAGATGGAAGAGCAAGAGATAGAGAGAGAGAAGAGGGGAGATGAATAAAATGTTATTGATTTGTTGAAACTGTAAGACTTATGTTATTCTATTCAACTACTGTTATTCAACTATTTTGTTTGTATGTCTCCATCTATATATTGTTTGAAAATAATAATAATAATAATAATTAGTGTGGTCATTATCTATTTGGCTTGGTTAAAATATGTATATATATATATATATATTTAGGCTCTTATTTATTTTCTTACTTTTATCATTGTTTATCTTATATATAATAGTTAGTGATTAATTTTTTGTATAATATAAAGTCATTAATTATTAAAATAAAATATAAAAAACTCAATTTATAGTGATTTAAAGATATGAAATATATTAGATCATACTTAAAAATTTATAAAAATTGATCAATATTTATTTTAAATCCAATAAATATGATCATTGAAAAAAAAATATGCGTATTAGTAAGTTTTTTTTTTCAAATTATGCGAAAAATAAAAAAATTCACGGTTTCGATTATCGCAACCGTTACGCTACGGTCTTTACACACCATAACTGCAACCAAGCCACCGCCTCCGTTACAGCAACCGTAACCGCTTTTCAGAACCTTAGTCACATCCAAACCATAATCATTTTATTTTTTCTCTCATAAAAGTTAAAAAAACCAAAACCAAAACCAATTCCAAACGAAATTTTTTAACCAAAACTAAAATAACTAAAAAATCAAAAAATTAACCTACATCCCAAATGAATCCTAATTGTGTTCTTATTGATAAAGGAAATGAAACTACAATTTTGTGTTAAGGAATTAAAAATTATAAAACGACATGCAAATTTATGACCACATAGTACGCTAGACCAACCAATCAATTTTCTGACTGACCACGTCAAGGTTGGATCCGCAGACGTCAAGTCGTTGCTTGATCCACACAAGTCAAGTCGTTGCTATTAATTATCACATCGTCATAATTTAAATTTAAAATTTGTTTAATCACTTGACAATTGTTAAAACTTAAAAAACATTCTTAATAACCTTCTTTCTTTTTTTTTAAATATTAACTGCATTAGTAAAACTTTCACTATATAACAGCATTAACATAACGCAATATTGTAGTTGAGAAGTCTAAACATATAGTTTTAAAGCTGTAGAAAGGTAATATTTATTGATAATTCAGAAAACTCAGTGTAATTAACCCTAGATTGAAAGATAGACACCAAGTACTCTAAAAACATTCATATTATTTCTGGACAAAATTGGCTTACCAAACATCTCCAATCCACACTACTCTTATAAGCCTGTTATTGAGGCATCAGAGTGGGAAAAAAAAATATATATATATATATATATATATATGTAGGATACATCTAGTATAGTTGTAGATGGTATACATGATCTGAAATAGGCAAATACTTTGTTATTATTTTCAAGAAGACATACATTCTGATGCTGTGTAGTATCACGAATCTATGTAATCACAGTTGGTGCCAATCGGCCTGTGAATTCCTCCATCTTAGACAGCTTGAGAGCAACCTCCACCTGTGACCAAACACACCAGATTGTTAGCAAGAAAAATAATCAGGAGCAGTAACAAATTGCCAGGATAATTGTTAGGGATGTCTCACAAGTGGACCAAGTGCTTCCTGCGAATCTCTCCCGATTTTTGACGTATCCTTCTCGTATTGCTCGATGTAAAGACGAATGGTTGCACCTTCAGAGCCAGTTCCGGAAAGACGGAAAACCTAGAATGTAGTATCAACAATGATTAACAACCAAGTGGATAGAACCAGGAAATTAATTGACACTGGCAGTCATCTACCAGTGTTCCTAAACTGAATTTTGAAGAGTGAATGGTAAAAAGGAGGCCCGTTACCAATCGTGACCCGTCTCCAAACAGATACCGAATACCCTGATGCTTTGAGATGGAACCATCAACAGGATCTTTGTATTCGAACTCATCGGCATTAACAACATTTGACACATCTGAACGTATCCCCTTGACAATTCTGCACAAATTAAATGCATGAGCGCTTCAAAAAATAAAAAAACAATAAACTTTCATCAAGGAAGACCATGGACATCGTGATAACTAAAACAACAATCTTCTTTAACGTTTTTCTCTCAGCAAATGCATCAACTCTTGAGAAGAAAATTGTAAATAAGCTATTTACAGTAGTAAATCAGCAGTTCAGCCTCAATGACTAAAATAAGCAAAGCACACAACCCTAAATTTCAAATCATAAATGTGGGATCTTTCAAAAAGAAATTACAGGAAAAATAAATAAATAAATTTGTGGAACCTCGACCTGAGTTTTCAAGACCAGAGAGAGACTTTCCAATCAGCTGCAGTAGAACGCTGTGAACACTCTATGATTTGTGTATTCTTACTATTCATTTTTTGTCCATTATTTTATTAGAATACAATCTGGCAGACTAGGGCAGGGGGTCCAATCACCATACTTTAATTCAGAACAATGAATCCAGAGGATTAGCTCTGATTGAAAGCTAGCCTTGCACCAAGCTGGCTAACCAAACCAAAATAGTAGAATGCCCAAAGAACAAGAAACATTAGTCAACCCAAGCTCAAGTCAGATCAGAATAGGGCAGGTTGCATGGGTTATTTGGACAGGTTGGCAAAAAAACACTTTCCTTGAATATCCTGTATGCTTAACATATCGATCAGAACTTGTATCAAAGAATTCCTGATAATTTTATCACTACTAGAACATAAAATAAAGAGTAGAAAAAATCAAAAAGAAGAAATTGAAAACAATTACAGAAATATAACCAAATAAACTAGAGGTTGGGTAAAAGCCCATATTCTCCCACGACCCAGTTCATCCTTGGGTAAAAGTCCAAAAGTGAGTTGATGCATAGATTTGAATTTTGTATGAAATGCCAACCCCGGGGAAGACAAATGACGGGGAAAAATGTAGAACAAAAGGAGCACAGCTGAAAACCAGAACCTAGATATTAAATATAGTATTCAAGTCACACTGATGATAACTGTTGCTAACCTTTTTACCAGGCTGCCAAAGAACCATTTTCAGCTTTGTTTTATGGCATATATCTTTTTATTTATAAGCAATGGCTATGAGCATAAACAACTCTGAACCGTTTGATTGGTGATGATTATTGAGCCCAAGAATTCCTAACCATTTGTATCACCAATTACTAGTGATTGCAGTTTTCCAGGCACGTAACCCAACACATACATTGTCTTGTCACTCATAAAGAGCTTATCAACAAACTAAAGGAAGAGAAAAAAGGAATAGGGAGGGAGAAGGGAAAAAAAGAGAGTGAGATTTCATTCAACTGAAACAATGAAATTAGCTCTAGCAATGAGATGCAGAGATGTCTTCCACAGGGAATCAGCAGTATGGAACAGATCTTACCGCATCAATATGTGCTTTTGCCCGGGAGAGATGGAACCAACAGATGTGCAAACTTTTATTACCACAAGACTGAAACTTAATCATTTAGCATCCAAATTAGCTCCCTCTTTTAACTTTGACTTACCCAACAAAAGTCCACCAATAGACTTGACTTGCCAGGCAATATCAAGATTATTGAAGGGGTATGAGGCGTTTTCAAGTTATCACAATTAGAACTCCTTTACAAATCTCTCTCTCTCTCTCTCTTTCTCTCTCTCTCTATTTTCAATTTGTTTTACCACAATCCTTTTCCTCCAACTCCAATGGGCTATTATCAATCTTAGAGAACTCCATCATAAACTCAATTTGGTTCACAATCTAATAAACCAAAAAAAATTTGAGACCTATTTTCACCAGACATATATCTCAATCAACAGAAAGTATAAGGCTACATGCTTAGTTTAAAATTCAGATGACATGGTTTCAGTCTTCCTACTGTATTAATGTTTTTCAGGTTTCCAACAGGGAGATAAAATGACAGAAGAAACCAAATAAATCAATGAATAGATAAATGGAGAAGGCTAAACAAAAAAGGAGTCAACAAAGTAATAATTGGAAAAGTCATAAAAGAAAAAATTGAACAAAGGAGCTTGATTCATGGCCACATCTTGAAAGAATTTGATATTGTTTCCTTTAAATTGAAAATGAAAAGAAGACATTTTAAAAAAACATCTTCAACATAGCCCTCACACCATCCCACAGATACTCTGAATTGAAGGCCTCCAATTACTACCTACAGCATCTACAAACTTGGTTTTTTCAGTCTACTTTCGTGCAAACTGCTAATTCAGCTGTGGAGGGGAACTGAAGAATCCATTAAACTGGTGATCAAAATGGATACGTTTAAATAAAAGTACATATAGGACATGTGGCAACATGTGTGTGTGCACACACAAATTGAACAAGAATATTTAAGGTAATTAAGCATGCTACTAATAAACACTGAAGAAAACTTGGCACAAAGAGATTATCTTTAAGGTAGTATGACAAACATACTTGTTGACTTCAGTAAGATCAGATTGCAGCTTGACCAAACATGCCATCAGATCCTTTGCTGCTCCAGCATCAACATTCTTCAAGGAAAAAAAATTAAATGAGCAAAAGATGTTTAATAGTCTTACTGTCACAGAGGGATCAAATATTAAGCAACAGGCATTGCAAGATCATACATACCTCATAATCATAACGTGTATAATAGTGGCGGCCATAGATAGCCCAGTGCTGACGAACAATGTCTTCAACAGTAACGAGCTTTCCCCCACTGAGGTTATCCTTATTTTTATAAGCAATAATAGAGAGCCAAGCCAATACAGCCCAGATTCCATCTTTCTCACGAATATGGTCTGAGCCTGTCAATAGATAAAACAAATCATTAAAATACTGCATGTTATATGTTTTGAATGTCTCGCCATTAAAAAATATATATATACTGAAGAATTGGGACAAAAGATCACCAGTTCCAAAACTTTCTTCACCACAAACTGAACACATCCCAGCATCCATTAAGTTACCAAAGAATTTCCAGCCGGTAGGCACCTGGCATTTTAGAGTGGGGGAAAAATTACGCCATCTCATACCAATAGTACAGGAAGTCATAAAATTATATAGTTTGTGCAACAGAGTACCTCAAAAAATTTCAAATTTAAATGCTGAGCCACAACATCAAGAGCAGCAGATGTAGGCATGCTCCTACAGCAAGACGACTCCAATATGAGATTAAATATAAGAGTGCAATGAATGAATTCCACAATAAGATAAGCAAACTATAAAAGGATAGTCATTGTGAGAAGTACACTTGATTCCTCACAAGAGATAGGTAACTAGAGAAAGAAGCCATATCAACATGCAGGCACACATGAACATGCCCTAACATATGCGGAAATAAGGTATGACTTACTTGGACAATAACGTTATGTCAAGATGCAAGTGTAAATAAACATGCCGTCAAACAAGCACATGCACATGATAGTACCCTCACAAACACACACAAGCACCTACGAAGAAGATGCTAAGCAAGTTGTTACAGAACCTGGCAACTCCCTTAAGACCATCAGAAAAGTAAGGTATGGCTTTAACAGCATTTGCAGCAATAATTGCAACGGAATCCGATGGAGTAACAAAAAACCTGACATCACAAACATAGTTCAAAATGATAGGTTTTGACAAGAATTTTTTTTCCCAACAAAAGTTGAAGTATAATGCTACCTTTTACCAAGAATCATGTTACGATCAGCATCACCATCAGCAGCAGCACCAAATTCTGGTGGTTCACCCTGAGAGCTTGACTTGCCCAACCCCATGCGTGCAACTAACTCCTTTGCATAGGTCAGATTGGGATCTGGATGGCCTCCTCCGAAGTCCTCCTGTGGACATAAAGTAATGCACAAAAAGAACATGAAGAAACATCAATTAAGACAAATTAGTTTGCCAGTTCTATACCAAACAAGATAGTATCCACAAAATAAATATACCTTGGGTACACAGTTCAGTAATGAGCTTTCTTGTGCACCAAGCTCCTCCACAAATATGCGCTTAGCATAAGCTCCAGCAACTCCATGAAGTGCGTCATAACTTGAAAATGATAAAAGAAGTTAAGCATCAATTGCATACTGAAAAAATATACCAGGATAATATTACTTTGAACATTAGAAATGAGATGCTATCTACATACCAGAATGTGAAACTTGGAGATGAAAGCAACTTTTGGATAGCCTGGAAATCAAATATTGACCTGGGAAATCAACAACCAATTGTTGTTAAAGGAATGAAATGTTAAGATCATCATAAAAATACTGTTAAGAAAAGAATATTGTGTGAACATATTTAACTTTTTTTATGATAGCTTGAAAAAAATAATGGAACACACCAAGTTTGTGCATTCATCATAAAAGAAACAGCTCCAATAAAAATAAAAATAAAAAAGAGAAGAAAATATGGATAAGCATTAGACATCAACGAAAAACAGAAAGAACTTCAAATTGAGCCTTTGAAGATAGCATACTTCATCAATTTCATGTAATCACTGGCTGAATCAAAAACATCAACATCAAACTGTCCCTCAGGCCCTGTAAAGCTTGTTATGCCTATTGCAGAGATATCCACCTGGAGTGTATTTCAACTTTCAAGAATTAGGAGACAAGGATTGTGAGAAGATGATAAAATCAATACAGAGGATTCAAAGTAAAAACGCATATATTGCTCACGAAACATATCATACATCTGGCAGGTCTTCTGCAATTAAGTACTCCTTGATTGTTTTTGTGTTCTCATAGATCTTATCAGTAATGGCTTCTGGTGCAGGTCCACCATTTTCCATGTTGTATTTAATTCCAAAATCCTGTAAAAGAAAAAGTACAAAAAGAAAATCAAACATTCAGCTTTTCAGTTGGCTATATGAAAATTCTGTTTTCTATTTAAACACTGGAAGTGGCAGTTTCAATAATTATCCTTTCTCTTCCAATTAACTTGCCGTCTTCGGAACTTCTTCCCTCTCAGCAATCTTTTGTGTGTTACAACACATGTATAAAGGATTACAACATTGATATCTACAAACAGCTACCCATTATATGTATTTAATCATCTCTGGACAGTAATTTATTTTCCTTACACATGATTTGATTACTCTTTTTTCTTTTTCTATTCTCAGCAAGCTTTTTTTTCTTTTTCCATACCTACTTTTTGCAATTCTACATAGAAGAGTGTGTCAACTAGCACAAACCGCAAACAAAAAGGGTACTAAAAAGTGGACAAAAGGAATTGACATTTTTCGAACTTTTTTGAAAACAAAAAGTTGGTCACACCTTAAAAATAAGAATTCACCAAATTGGGGGTTTTATATAATCTATAAAAGGATAGAAGTTGCAGCACACAAAAATATTTCATGCATATTGATAAAAAAATCCATACTAATAAATCAACAAGGCTCTTAAAAAAGTCAAGTCCAAAGAGCATAAAAGTTCAGTCCATATTGGCAGTAGAATAACCCAGGCAAGGAATGGTGGAAGTCCGTGGGAAGAATAAAAAGCAATTGCTCAAGGATAAGAGAGAAGAGTTTCCCTTCTAATGGATTCTCGATCTTCACTTCTGAGAACATTTCAAGTGAACCACATAGAGAAACACCCTATTAAAGCCTGGGAAAAGAAACCAACTAAAACAATTGAGCGTAATCACTAAGGCCTAGAATACCTTCAAACAGGCAACTTCAAATTCCTAAGTTCAAGATCAGAAAACAAGAGGATAAAAAAACAGTGCTGCACGTTACTATTGCTTTTAAAGGACACGGAAAGAATGCACTAAAAAATAATTCAATGAAACCCACTTAATTCCTCGTTGTAAGTGTAAAATGATAGTGGTGCTCACCAAACTGAAAATTTTCCCTCGAATATAAGAGTAAGATTTAAGCAAATACCAGCTGATACATACCTCATGGGGACCACCTGGATTATGACTTGCTGTCAATATGAATGCTCCTGATCCCTTAGATCCCTATGTTGAAATTTAAACATAAAAGTTCATTATGTCATCTTGAACTGGCTTTAACAGGACCTTAAAGGGAAGAAACCACGATAGGCTGCTAGATGTAACCATTTGAACCAGATTAACTTACATCAGCGCCAACCCTTTCACGTACAACAGCTGATACAGCAGGAGTAGACAGCAAACCATTTTGGCCAACCCAAACACGTCTTACTCCATTTGCAGCTGACATCTTAATTATAATCTGGCAGTTTCCAAAAATAAAGATTAGGTAGATTACACAACATGGTCAATTAAGCATCACAGAAAAGGTGCAAGCATGCAACATGGATAGTAAGATGCAATCGCTTTTATGTTAAGGCAACTAAGGTCACTTAGGACATAAATCTCTGTTTCTTATTAGAGAAACTGCATCTTGGTCATTGATCAATGTCAACAAAGAGTCCATTAAATAGAACAAAGAAAAGCATGTAACAAGCCAAAGCCATTACAAAGTGAATCCACACCTAAATTACTCATTGGAACAAACTCAAATATTATTTACCTGGATAGCATCCTTTGAATAGTAGCGACCATCACCAGAAACTACAAGTGTGGCACCTGTGTGCATGAAAATGCAGTTACAAGTGATTAAAACTTTAAAAGGGATTAAAATTAAATTCGTTAAAAAAAAAAAAAAACGGGGAAAAAAACAAAACAACATAACAACATTATATGAGTAAGAAAGTCTAGAACAATTATAAAAGAGAGTATCAGCAAAATAGTGTGAAAAATAAAATAAATAGCTTCTCCCTAGAAGAAAAAACATCTATTCTATTTTACTATATGAAGCACTCAACTGAGAACAGCTTTTGAAGCTGTCACACAATTTTAATTTTTGCCAATTGAATAAATAAACATGTCACACCCAATCCAATAAATAGTAGCTAATTAGTTCTCAAAACCAACCCATATTTCTCACTCAACAAACTGCCCAAAAGCACTTCATGCAAAACATATTAGGAAAAAAACTTTGTTCAATAGACTACCATCTACCACAATGTTAACACTAACTATAAAGAAAGATCAATGCATTATGAATCTGAAAAACAAGAGCAGGTAGATTAGGTCATACTGTTACAAAATTGTTTGCCAGAAATAAATGGTTTTTGTTATACAAGAAGTTAGTCATTATGTTTTGGGTCTTCAACCTACTTCATATGGAAAGTGAGCTAAGACCAATTTATTGATGTTTTCCAACTATTTACAGAGGGAAAAAAAAAAATTTTGGTGCATGAGGAACAGCATACAGAGAATAGTGGCATCAAACCACACCAACAAACCTAGGCCAACTCTTTACAGAATAAAAATCTGAAGAGAATAAGTGGAAATAAACCACACTAACAAAACTAGGACCAAAGGCCTTTCCCAACTCCATAATTTTAAAATTAACACAAACTTCCAATGTTAGGCCTGTCAAATGAGACTCGATGATATTGCCACGCTTCAAAAAACTAAACTACTAACAGATATAATATACTAAACGACCAAGATTTTTAATCAAATAGAAGTAAAAACTTTATAATCTAACAAAATGGGGGCTTAAGGCCTTTTAGAATAATTTCAACGAATGTAATTGATAGGACCAAAGCAATGTGTCAACCAAAAGGATCAGGAAAGTCCAAAATAAATAAGAGACTGACTGGTGAACTTTCAACAACAGTTGTATAAGAAAATGCATGAAAAGCAGGGACGAAGAAGAAAATAGAAATGCAAAACAAGACCAACCAGGCCATTAGCTTTCTACCAATTCCGAAAAGTTACAAAAGGCCTAACTTGGATCAAGAAGAGAAAGACAACATCAAAAGACATGGGCATAAGAAACAAGTATTTGCAAAGGACAGCCAAGGGTTTGAGAATAGGTTCATTGTCTTGAGTTAATATGCCTTGATGCCAAAACCAAGGGAACCAAGCAAGTAACAATAGACAGTACAAGGATCCTAAAGTATTTATTTTCCCCACTATCATATTTTTTAGGTTTTTTTTTGTAGGATCCCTGATATTAAAATTTTATAGCATAAAGGACATTCAATATTTTCATAATGTCTAAGGTCCCTCAATATTGATCCAGAGAAACTTCAATCCAGAGAAATTTTGGACTTCCCAAAGAATTTCTCTGGATTCAACCCAGAGAAAATTCAAATTTCTCTGAGTTCATTTTGACCAATTTTCTCTGGATTCAAATTCAAATTTCTCTAGGTTCATTTATAAACCAGAGAAAATTCAAATTGCTCTAAGTTCATTTTAACCAATTTTCTCTGGATCGTAAAGACACAATATTATTTTATGAAATCATTTTGACCAATTTTCTCTGGGTTCAAATTCAAATTCAAATTTCTTTGTGTTCAAATTCAAATTCAAATATTGTGGATCTATTTCATTATCAAAAATAAGAGAGGGACCTTAAACCAATTTCTCTAGGTTCGGGTTCAAATTCAAATTCTTTCTCCAAAGAAATTCTTTGATAGTCTTCATCATCATCGTCATCTTCTTTCTACATCAAATAAGCAGTTGTAACAGCATCATGAAAGCCATATAAGCAAGAACACTTTGATAGCATCAACACAAATGCACAACAAGACCAATGATTAACTGGAACCTAGAGGTGGCATAAGGCAATAACAAAGCTTCCAGAGAAATTTGAACAAACCAAAGGCCTACCAGAGAAATTTGAACAACCTAGAGACCTACTAGAGAAATTTGAACAACCAGATAAATTTGAAAAAACTCCCAAATTTCTAATCTGACTTCATATTTTTTATGCTAACAAGAACACATTACCTGCCCTGCAAACCCAAAAGGGGGTGGAAACCCCAGGCACATTACCTACCAGGTAAAGAATTCTGACCAGTCGCCTCTTGAGCCCAAGCACCATCGACATTCAACGAGCCGTCATGCAACACCAAATCAAAGGCTCAACAGCCATTCTTAGCCATGAGCCGCTTGATGGCGGCTCGACACTGTGGCTTAGTGATGTCCTCTTCAACGCCAATGGCGCCGCGAACGAGGTGAATGGGGATGAGGTCGATGCCGATGACAAGGCTGTCAACGGGGATGCGCTCGACGGAGACTTGCATCTAGCCACCGGGGGCGGCATAGAGATTGAAGATGGCGCGAGAGACGCAGAGGAAGCTGAATTTGGACTCGAGCTGGATGATCTTCCATGTGGCACGAGATCTATAGCCGTGTTCTTTAGCTAGGTGGTAGTACTTGTCCAAACAATGCTTGCCCTTGACTTTGCCCATGTCTTCTCTCTAGGGTTTCGGAGAGAGAGAGAGAGAGAGATTGGAAGTGTTGCTCTGCAATAGAGGAGGAGAGACAGAGAGTCAAATTTCTCTAATCTGATATATGGTGTGGGGAAGGTTCTGAAAAGCGGTTGCGGTCACCGTAACGGTGGCGGTGACGCGGTTGCGGTTGCGGAGTGTAAAGGCCGTAATGTAATGGTTGCGGTAACCGGAACCGTGAATTTTTTTATTTTTCCCACAATTTGAAAAAAAAAACTTACCAATACGCATATTTTTTTTCCATGATCATATTTATTGGGTTAAAAATAAATATTGATAAATTTTTGTAAATTTTTAAGTATGATCCAATATATTTCATATTTTTAAATCACTATAAACTGAGTTTTTACATTTTATTTTAATAATTAATGACTTTATATTATACAAAAAAATCAATCACTAACTATTATATATAAGATAAACAATGACAAAAATAAGAGAATAAATAAGAGCCTAAATATATAATATATATACATATTTTAACCAAGCCAAATAGATAATGATCACACTTATTATTATTATTTTCAAATAATATATAGATAAACACACACAAACAAAATAGTTTAGTGATAGCAGTTGAATAGAATAGCATAGGTCTTACAGTTTCAATAAATCAATAACATGTTCTTCATCTTCCCTCTTCTCTCTCTCTATCTCTTGTTCCTCAATTTTCTCTCTTTATCTTCCCTCTTCTCTCTATCCCTCTTCCCCCATTTTTAACTTTTTTTGTATGTTTTTTCGAAAGAAACAGTTTGGAACCGTTACGTAACGGTGCGTAACAGGCCGTTACGGCTGTTACGGCACCGTTATGACCGCTACGACAGCCGTTACGGCCAACACACCTGTGAATCTCAATCACATTGCAAAAGTGGCCGTAACGGGTGGCGGTAACCGTCAAAACCATTACGTAACGGCGTTACGTAACGGTTACGGCCGCTTTTTAAAACCTTAGGTGTGGGCTTAGGGACCTTACACATCAAAAAATAATATTGTGAATCTTTTTCATTACTAAAAATGAGAGAGGGACCTTAAAATAATTTTTCATATTTTTTAATCTGAAGCCAAACAGACCAAGAGACTCCAGTATATCCTTGTAAGGGGTAGTTTCTTGATAAATCAGTGATGCTTAAAAGAACCACAACACAGTTGAGTAATGGAAGAGGATGACAATGATGTCCATGGCAAGCAAACAAAAGAGAGTGACACTGAGAGATCTAAGATAACTAGGACAATATAAAAATGGTGCAATATCCACTTTCTGCATTTGTTGATTTAGTTTTATAAATGTTTGAAATTTTCTATACCAATACCTCATGTGTCATGTCTTGTATTTTTTGAAAATTATCATGTCAGTGTATTAGTGTGTGTCCCTATCCGTGCTTCTACTATGTCTCTCTGGAAGTTCATTATTTGATTGACAAGAAACAGTATCTTGGGTTTTTGTAATTGGCAATCCCATTTGACAAAACTCCGTTCAATTATAATTTTATTTGATCTTTTATTTCAATGAGGCTATGAGTATTGAGATGCGAAACCAACCCGAATTGTGCCTACGCAAAGGAGTTTGTGATCTTAATCATTTCAGTCGAAATTGTTTGACTACTCGAGTAGTCATTTGTGCGCTCGAGCGAATACACAGATCATCCAGTATTTTTGCAGAACACCTAAATTTCTGAGAAGAAAGTTTTACCGCTCGAGTGGTGAAAGTTGCGCTCGAGCGGTCAACCTATATGTTTCGCACAGCCTTTAGTCACACCGTTCGAGCGGTGAAATGTGCGCTCGAGCGGTCTGTGCAATCCTGTTTTCTATAAAGTGCGTTGTTCACTGTTTCTAGGATTTGTGTCATCCAAATTTTCAGAGAGGAACAAGATACAGAGTGTTTTATATTGAAGGGTACTTTATAAGTGTTTCCTTGATGATTTAAGAGTTATCAATGGATCCATGAATTTCATATCAACATTATCAATGATTGTTCTTCGGTGAATTCCAGAGAACCTGAGCCTGAAACTTTGGTGGATTCCGGAGTAGCTCGTGGAGTCGACATCAACGTTGTGGATTTAACGTTGGACAAGACAATTCTGAGGTGAAGACGGTGTTAGAAGACGCAAATTGAAGTCGATTCAATTCAGGCGTGGATTCACTAGGTAATTGAGAGTACACTTGTGTAATTCCTTTTTGTCTTCTTAGGCCTTGTTTGGGAACAGGCTAATTTAGTAACTTTTTTGCTATTTAGCTAAAATATGAACTAAAAAAAGCTAGTATGTTTGGGATGACTTTTTGACTTTTTACGAAACGATGTACAAAAAGTAGAGAGAAAAGAAAATCTTTGACTTTTTTGTATGAGTTGTTGCCTTTTTTATTTTTTTAGCGACTTTTTGGCTTTTTGGCTAAAAAAGCCACTTGCCAAACGAGGTCTTAGTGGATTGTTTCATGGCTTTGGCCCATGGTTTTATTATCACAATTGGAGGCACTCCAATTGTGATTTTTCTACGTTAAATCGTTATGTCAATTTGTCTTTGATTGTTTGATTGGTATTGTCATTCGTTATTTAAAATTGAAACATAATCACAAATCAATATCTTGGGTTTTTAAAATTTTTCACAGTAGATGATTGCATACTTTGGAGTTTTTTAATAATTGTTGAGTTTCACTAATAGCGAGACTCATATTCCAAGGCTTTAGCAAATACAGGCTGCAATAAGTTTTCTTAATAAACAAATTGATTGGTTTTGGGGAGGAAATCAAGTTCCATAAACACAAAAAACGAAACAGAAAGATACATATTACCTTGACCAGTTCTTTGACAATCCTCACTTAAAATAGAAAAAAAACAACATTTTTTGAATAAATTTCACATTATTTTATCTACGCAATGAAATCATGTCATTGCACTGCATGAGTAGAAATACAAATATCTCATTTAACAGTAGTATCATATTGAACATACAAGTCGTAAAACAAACGACAGAACCCCTACCTCTGACTTTGTCTGCAGAAAGGGCATTGAATGTTGACTGAACAAAGTTGTGCAAGTAATGAGGTTGCATGAACACTTTGACCTAAAAAGGTCCACCAATGATTGAATCAGATAAGAAGATTTGAAAGATATTCCAGAAACAACAGCAGCTAACAAGAAAATGCTCAATGCAAAATCAGCAGAACTTCTGATACATCCTTACTCTGATCTTACTATTTATCGAAAATATCAATAATTAAAATCAGATTTGGCAGGGGAGCCTAAAAAGTTCAACCAATAGTGTGTAACAAGACACGATATGAAAGAGGCTAGAATCTCACTATCATGGTGATGAATCCTTGTGGTCATTTTAGCATAATCTGATAAATTGGTTTCATTCAAAATCATAATTAGGGCAGGCAAGGATCTATAATTTGGAAGGTGGCCATATATAGGACTTGAAAATTGGATTTAATTTAACCCAGACTACAAGACAGTCATTTGAAATACGCCAACTTCAACATGAAACTCATTGTTTTTGTTTTGTTGGCATATAAATCAAATGATGATTTCTATATATGAATGTGAAATATTATTTAGATCTTTTCAAACAAAGAAACATATATTCGCGTCACTGGTTGTGCATGCAAAGCACTATTTTTTTCAGATCGTAACACAGCATCGAACGAAACAAAAATAGATTCATCAGATCCGTCCAAGGAACAAAGATCAATTGCTGAAACACTTTGAATGCTCAATTAAACGCGAGAAGAGAAACAGATCCAACTCAAAAGCCAAAATCACAAAATGAACAGATATGAACAGTTTGGGAACCAATTCGATAGGCCAATTAGGGCCAATTATCAGTGTGCATTGAGAACAGAAAGAGACGATACAAATGAATCGAAAAGTAAAAAAAAAAAAACAAAATTTTAAACAGGAATTTGGAATCACCTTCTTTCTGAGACCAGAAGTTCCCGGTTTTTGTCCATCGATAGGTGTGGTTGCAACGCGAGAAACCTTGAACATCACCATTTCTTCCTACTATCTACTTGATTAAACAAAATGAATGAATTCGAAATCAGAGAGAGAGAGAGAGAGTGATCCGATTCGAGAGCGAGAGAGTGTGAGAAATACGCAACGTTATGAGAGAGAGAGAGAGAGAGGGAGGGAGGGAGGGAGGGGATTATTGGATGGGCAATTTCAAACCGCACGCTGGCACGCATGTTGAGATCGAGCCGATTGTGGTGCGAGCTACACGTGGCGTGTCATTTTCTTAACTGACTCTATTAGCCCGTTTGTTTGGGGTTGTAGAGAGGAATTACCAATCTATTGGTATTACTAAAGAGGGTGTTTGTTTTGAGAGATCAAAAGGGGACTATTAGTCCCTTGGTATTAGTAGTCCCCTTAAAAGGGGGATTGGTAAGGAAGAATTAGAGATGGTATTAAAAAAATAGTAAAGAGATTAGAAATTTTTTTATTTTTTATATATTGAGAATTTTTTTAAAATATAATGTTTAATTTTTTATATTTTTTTATTTGTTTTATTATTTTATATAAAAATAATTTAACAATTCCTCACTATCAATCCCCTCACTAACAATCCCCTCACTATTAATCCTCTCATTATCAATCCCCTCCATTCTATCTCTCAAAACAAACGGGGCCTTAATACCTCGGCCTCACTCTTATTTTAACGGTATGGCTTCTGTCCAGTCTGGGATCGAACTGGACCGTACTGTTGGATCCATGGGGGTTCACCACGGGTCTCGTTTTGATAATCTGAACTGTTCAATGTGTAGAAATTGTCGAGTACTATGTGCTTGTAAAAAATCACGTTGATCGGATATCAATAGCTATGTGATCAAAACAGTTTTTTTTCAACCGTTAATTTATTCACCGTCCAATTTTTTTAATACAAAACTGATTTGATCATATAACTATCGATATCCGATCAAAGTAATTTTTTACAGACATATAGTATTCGACGAGTTCTACACATTGAACAGTTCAGATTATCAAAACGGGACCCGTGGTGGGCTCCCACGGGCCCAACAACACGGTCCAGTCCGATCCCGAACTAGACAGAAGCCATACCCTTATTTTAACTAGGGGCTGACCCGGCTATTCAAAACATGTAAATGAATCTGAACCAACACACCCTGGATTGAGAGGAGTACAAGCGAGGGAAAGTGTTGGTTGTGAGTAGATATATGGTATTTAAAATTTGTTTTCAAAAAAATTGAAGGGTTATATGTCTTTTCTTTTATTTGATTTAGAAATTTTCAAAAGAAGAAAACAAAATAATTGATTGTTAATAGTGGGCTATTTTGAGAAGATGGTTATAATCAACTTTTTGATGAAAAGCTGCTTATAAGCAGCTTATAAGCAGTTTTTTTGTGAGAGAGGAACCCACTTCCCAAAATAGCCCAGTATCGTGTCTTAAATTCAATTTAAATATTATTATACAAGTTTAGTTGTGGATGTTGGATTTCATTATTTTGTTATATTCGAACTTGTTAATTGATGTTAATCAATACTCTTTGCTTAGATTATTCCGTGGTTGAGTTTTGGATTTGTGATTTTGAAATTTGGACTTAGAATTAGTGTTTGGAAAGTTGAATTGGAGTAGGGAAGATCACATGTGTAGTAGGGTTGTTGCGCACATATCGATTGATATACGCATGGGTTAAAGCCTAACACATGCAGAGAATGTCACCGTATATGCCGCCAAAGGATGGGGCAATGTCAATTTTAGATTGCATAGATCTACACGTATGATCGGATGGCTTCGTACATGTGATAGACCTGTGCGGAAGGCAGCGTGACAACTTCTCAGCCTTATATTTTGAATCCTTTTTTTTGTTTGTTTTTTTTTTTTGTAGAGAGACTCTCTCTCTCTCTCTTTCTTCATTTGCTTTATTTCACTTTCTCTTTATATCTATTTCCTCTTCTCTATACCATAAATCCTCGATTAAAGCTCAAGTTAGAGTGCTTTAGAGTGTTAATCTTCAACTCGGGTATCAATGTTATAGAGCTCGTCGAGGGCTATGCATCTATAGGGTTCGTTTGGGATATGGGTTGGCTTTTTAACTTTTTTGCTATTTTAGTTTGGGATTAAAAAGTTTCGTTTGAGATAAGCTTTTTGACTTTTTTGACTTTTGTGAAAGAAAAAATGTAATAATTATGGATTAGATGTGATATTTTGTCTTATTAGGCTAAAATGCCTATTTTGTTTTTGTTTTTTTTAACATCTAAAATAGCCAAAAAGTCCCGGGCTTTTGCTTCCCAAACAAACTCATAGTGAAGTAGTTAAAAATTAAGATAAATTACACTGGTGGTCATTCTACTACATCATCGAGCGATGCTCTCAGATCAAGATTAAGCATTATGGTCAATCAAAATGGGGTAAGTGTGTCTACACCCTCGTCATCCTCCAACCACTCCTCTCCACTATTGAAATCCCATCTTTCTTCATCTTCTTTAGTCCTCACCATGGATTTGCCACCCTTTCCACCACAATCTCGTCGCAAATCCACCACTAAAGCTGTAACGACCCAACCCATGATTAATGTTAATCCATGCTTAAGTATGCCTAACAAGTAATTAAGAAGAAATCCTGAGTTAATTACATGTGTATTACATTATTTGTGTTTATATTGGTTTAACATAAGAAGATCTGTTCATGTTTTCATTTCAGTTTGCAAATTAAAGGCCTTATCGGCATTCGATTCAGAAATTGACTTGATTTATGTGTTAATTAGAATTTTTAGAATTTTATGGTGGGTTTAATTAAAATTCAGTTCGGAATGATTAAATCAGATTAATTTAATGACTCATTTGATTAGCCTTAATTAACTATCATTAGGCAAGCTTATATAAGGCTTCTTAAGTGCTCTCACTCATTCTTTTCTTCCACTCCAACACATCTTGAGCTCACACACACACATACAAACGTGTAGAGAGAGTGAGAGACCTAAGAGAAGTTTTCAACAAGGAATTTTCTTGAGAATTAAAGAAATTGAACAAGAACTCACTAGAATTCAAGGAGTTGAGAGCCTCTTGAGCTCACACACACACACACAAACGTGTAGAGAGAGTGAGAGACCTAAGAGAAGTTTTCAACAAGGAATTTTCTTGAGAATTAAAGAAATTGAACAAGAACTCACTAGAATTCAAGGAGTTGAGAGCCTAAGGTAAAGAAATCAAGTCATTAGTTGTATAATTAGGATACTTATCATATGTGTTCAAAGGAATTAAATGAGTTGAAGCGAGAATTAAACTTAATGAAGTAAAAAAAAAAGAGTACATACTTGCATGTGCATTACATTGCATTTAGAGCATGTTGTCTAAGAATTTGTCTCATGCATGTTCATATTTTGGTTGAAGTTTAAGGATTCACCATGTTTTTAAGTAAAATATCTCATTTGATCATGTTTTGGAAGCTATGAACTCAAATAAGCACATATATGACATGTTCACATCATGTTCTTACTTTTCAAGTTGTATTTTGCACAATTGACATGCTTTTGGGCTTTGATTTCATAAAATGATCTTCAATTCTTTTGTGTTTTCCAAGGTTGGACATGTTTTATCAAGTTTTGGGGCTCAAAGGTTGAGTTTAATGGCTTTGAATTTGAGTTTTGAGCTTGGGAGCAAATCTGCAATTTCAGAATTCTGCTCCTACGCTCGAGCAAAGGAATCCACGCTCGAGCGACCACTCTGAGTGCGTGCACTTCTACTCGAGCGACCAGAAGTCCGCTCAAGCATAAAATGCATGCTCCCATAAGTTCTTATGTTTTGCAGATCGCTCAAGCGACAAAAGTTGCGCTCGAGCGAAGGCATATCTCTCACACTTGAGCGAGCGTCGAACGAAAAAATCAAGCAACCAGCACTTTTGCAAAAGTTTGCAGACCGCTCGAGCGACCACTCACATTTTGCATGTCCGCTTGAGCGTAGAAAGTCACGCTCGAACGAGGACTCTGTTTTCAACAATTTTTGATTAAGTGTTTTTAAGTGCATTTTTGCATCCTCTTTCCATCCTAGGCATTCATAGGCCAAGTTTAAGACACCATGATGAGGATAAAGAAGTAGAAACACACCAAGATAAGAAAAAAACTAAGTTAATGATTCCGGGTGTGTAATTCAGTACGTATTCGTTCTGTATCTATGTAGGTCACGCGCCACGAGATATCTAAATTGCCTACTCCGTCCGTTTACTTAGAGCCACCTATTATCTGTGAGTAATAACTTAGTAAAACTATGTTCAAGTTAAATTATTTTTTGTATATGAAATAAGATCTGTTCTATGAAATGTCATGTTTTGTACTATGAATGATTGTCCAACTCTGACAAATGTTTGTGGTATTTATGCTATAATTCAAGTATGCTATCTGTACCCAGACCGGAGGTTCCTTTATAGAACTGACAAGTTATCTGTACCTGGCTGGAGATTCCTTATGGAACTGACAAGTTATCAATTCCCAGTCTGGAGGTTCCTTTATGGAACCGACAAGTATGATCTAAGATGCTCGGTATGTGTCACGACCCGCTATAATTCAAGTATGCTATCTGTACCCAGACCGGAGGTTCCTTTATAGAACTGACAAGTTATCTGTACCTGGCTGGAGATTCCTTATGGAACTGACAAGTTATCAATTCCCAGTCTGGAGGTTCCTTTATGGAACCGACAAGTATGATCTAAGATGCTCGGGATGTGTTATGTTAGCACTAACTGATAAACTATGTATGATCAAGTATGAATTCTGGTTTTTGTATATGAATTGAATAAGAGTACGACTATGAACCTATTCTGTGTACAAACTTAGTTACGAGACATCATTCATTTAACCCTTTACTCTGTTATTATTCACTGGGCTCCCGCTCACTATTTATATTATGTATGTAGGTGATCAGACACGTGACTAGCCTCTGAGTTGAGGACCTGGCGTCTCAGTTTTTGTCAGCCAACCTTTGCGTCTCCCAAGGAGGTTCCAGATTAAGTCAAGTCTAGCGATTGTGTTATTATAAATGTATAAGACTTTGTTTCTTTTGCTCCTTGAACAAGTTTTTCTGTTTATATGTACATGAAGTGACATGCAAATACTGTATCTTTTGACGTCACTCGTAAGTTTATGAAAG